ATTTTATCTAAAGGGAGATGTGCACAGAAGCGGCTGCCAAACCGTTTCCTCATCTGTACCGCAAGCCGTGGACCATTTACTGCCACACTCTGTGTGTTGCTTTTTTCTTTTTTTTCTTTTTTAGCCATATGTTCATCTATTTAAAATTGCCAACGATGACTTTTGTCTATTTATGAAGAAAAATGGAGAACAAACTACCGTTGATCATAAAGTGTGTGTGGCTTTTTGTTTGGGGGTTTCGGTTTTCCGGCTTGGGTTTTTAATGTTGTTTGCAGCTGTTTCCTGGCCCTGGCAAGGTCTGTCTCGGTGCCCAGTGCTTCTCTCAAATTTCTTTATAATAAAACTTCTGAAAAGTTGAAAACAAGTCTGTCTCTTCTTGCTTCCTAAGCCAGGGCCAGGCCTCCCAATGTGGCATTGGGACATGGCTTTGCAGGGACAGAGCCTCTGATGTCAGCCAGACTTGGGTAAAAATCCTGCCTGCCATTCACTGGCCTGTGTGGGTCTCTGAGGAGGTGGCTGGGCCTCCCTGGCCTCAGTTTTGCCGTCCATACAATGAGGATAATGATGGCACGCACCCATAGGGTTCTTGAAGTGATTGAAAGGGATTTTGGGCGTAGAGTGCTGGCCACACAGGGAGCGCTCGGAATGTTCTGGCTGCTGGCATGGTCATCAGTGGGTGACACTGGGGGGCCTCTCCTCCCCATTCCCTCAGTCAATGAGGCCTCTGTTCAGTGGAGTCCCCTAGTCTGGTGGAGGAGAGGGGTGGGGTCAGGACTGTGGGTGACCAGGTAGGGGAGGTGGGGTGGGCATTTGTTCAAATCTGAGTGTAGAAAAGCACTTAGACAGGGACTCTTTAAACCAGGTTTCCCAACAGATGATAGGTAGGCTGGTAGGTAGGTAGATAGATAGGTAGCTATAAATAGCTGCTGTCAAGTTGAATCCAACTCATGTACAACAGTATGAAATGCTACCCAGTCCTGCATCATCCTCATGATCACCAGCATGTTCAAGTTCATCATTGCAGCTATGGTGCCATTCCATCTCACTGAGGGTCTCCCGTGCCTTGCTGGCCCTCTGCTTCACCAAACGTGATATATCCTCCTCTAGCGACTGATCCCTCCTGATGACGTGCCCAAAGCAGTGAGCCGAACAGTGTTCTGTTGTGACCCATAGGGTCTTCATTGGCTAACTTTTGGAAGTAGATCACCAGACCTTTCTTCTTAGTCTGTCTTAGTCTGGAAGCTGTGCTGAAACCTGTCCACCATGGGTGACCCTACTGGTATTTGAAATACTGGTGTCATAGCTTCCAGCATCATCAACATGCAAGCCACCACAGTACAAGACACTGACAGATGGTGGATGTTAGGGAGTGGTACTTAAGAGAAAAAAAAGCAATAATTATGTGACAACTTTTTACTATATCTGGAAAAAGGTAATAGTCGCCTGGTGTGAACAGGTTGCTGGGGGGCTAGAGCTATTGGCCCTCGTGACCCAAATATTTTGGGTGGGAGCCCCACATTTATGACAGCTGTCAGGGCCCCTGGTTCTCTAACCACGGTCAGCTCTCCCTTCTCCCAGCTTGCAGCCCCAAGGACGAGCAGCTTCCTCACTGGCATTTTATCATCCACTTTGGAAAAAGAAAACCAAGCAAGCAAACAAAAACCACCTGCTGGCATGTCAGAAGCATCACTGCAATGTCGAGCATAAATACTTCATGTGGTTACAATTTCCTTTCCTACGTGGAGCTTGTCAGTAACACGGTGACAAGTTAGACAGTTCAATATTCGGCTCTTGCTTCTACATTTGAGAAAACAGCTTCATTGGGTTCCACGGAGACAACCCAAAATGAAGAGAGTGTGAGGCTCTCAGATTCCCTCTCCTGAGGCAGAGACCTCCGACCTGCCCCTCATGGCTGCACTGGGGGCTCAGGTGTCCATTGGAAGTGGCCATGTGCCAAAGCTGGCCTCACTCCTGCCAGGGCCACTCAGCAGCTCCCAAACAGAGTCTAAGTGCCCCGCCTACAAATATCAGGGGGTTGCCAGGCGAGTGTTCTGTGGACCCAGAGGATGGAAGCAGAGCCAAGGGACCAACAGAAGGTGCAAGAAGGCTGATTCCAGGTCATGGGGTGGACACTGGCGGGGTGGTTGCTGGTGGGGCCCCACCTAGATGCCCCTTGTTGCCAGTGCACTGATCCCGCAGCTGCTGAGTGTAGGCTGCTCAGGGCTCACAGCTGCCTCCCTTGTCCCAAGCATTGCCCTTGGCCAGAAGGGAGCCACCTCTCTCGGGAGGTTAGGCCCCATCCGCCAGAGCTGCCACAGCTACTGGGGGAAACAATTCCATGGTCTTGTTCCTGCTCCAGAGCTCCGCGGGGGTCAGGTGGATGCAGGTCTCCAGCTGCAGCATCATCCTTGCTCGGCTCCTTCCCTGCTCCACCCTGCCTCCTTCACTCCCTTCTGAGACCACTGCCTCAATAAATGACTGGAACAAGAATCCTCAGGGAAACTAGTACCAGCTGAGCCCACGGACACGAGTGGGACCACCTCAGTAACCTTCCACATTGTTTAACTGGCTCCGACCCTATCTGCAAAATGCTGCATTTCCAACCCCTGAACTCAAGCCTTGCCCAAGAGGGGCCTAGGTCCCCAAGCATTCAGAAAGAAGTCCTGTCCCGGAGAAGCAGTGTCTTGCATTCTCTCTATTCTGTCCTATGATGGTGGCCACAACCCATGGAGCCACTGACAGCCCAGTGCCACGTCCACTCTGAAGGCACTGAGGCCACGGATGCCCCCACCCTGCCCCCTGTGCTTCCGGGGCTGCTGGCAAACATTCCACAGCCCCTTAACGGGCCAGGTGGTACCACTGCAGCCATGGACCACATCCTCAAGTGGGGACAGTCAGTCTGGGGTCTGTTACTGATTTTGTTTTTGTTGTTGACTTATGAATTAGGAGATCCCATGTGTTACAGAGTAGAACTGCTCCATAGGGTTTTCTTGGCTATAATCTTTACGGAAGCAGATAACCAGGCCTGTTTCTTCCTTGGTGCCACTAGGTAGGTTCAAACCACCAACCTTTTGGCTACTAGCTGAGAGCAAACCATTTGCACCGTCCGGGGACCTTCGGCCTAGGGTCTAGACTACCCCATCTCAAGACCACATGTTAGTGCCTGGGCCCCAAGCAGTGCCCTTGACATTGTGAGAAGCCTTAGCTCCTGCCTGCATCTCTGCCCTCACTGTCCACTGAGCTGGCCCAGGAACCAAAACCACGTGCCCTTCTCATTGACAAGTGCCCTCTTCCGAGTCCTCCCATCTCATGCCTCCACCCCCACAAACACACTGGGCTCCTAACCAGAGGCACCGCTGAGACGTCTAGCCCAGGAGGAAGGTGGGCTGGTCCTAAGATGTGCCCAGAAGTGAGTCCCCCTTAAGGGATGCATACAAATTCCCACATTAGACTGGATGTGGGCAGCACAGTATGACTGGGCCTTCCAGTTAATTTCAGAGTCCGTGATGCTAAAATGCAATTTGCTTATTAAGCAAGAGTAAAAGCCATTGGTCAGTTACTGTGTGCCAGGCTCTTGGCTGAACACTAGGGACGAAGAGCTGAATGGGACCCAGACACTGACCATGAGTCACTTAGAGTCTGGTTGACCAGGCAGAGAAGGAAAGCAGCCATTAAAAATACCACATGACTTGTGCAAGAAGAGGGAGCCGGGGGCATCTTCTGGATGCAGAAGGGGGGAACCCTGTCCAGCTGGGGTCTGTAAAGGACTCCTGAGCAAGGTGACAGCAGCCGTGCCTTCAACAGTGATGAGGAGTGGGCCAGCTGAGGGAAGGAGCACTGGACAAAGAGTACTGACCTCAGGGACCTCATCCCCAAGTCCCTGCCCCTCATACACTTGCCATGTGACCCTGGGCAAGATGCCTCCATGTCCCATGAGGCCAACACTGCCTTCAGGGTATGGGAAGGGAATCCAATGGCGCGTTGGACACCCAAGGGCTTTCTGAACTGCAGATGTCACACAGTGAAGGCAGCTCCAGTCAAAGGAGAAGGGGGCCATGAAGGCCGGCTGTGACTTGGCTGATGCCCTCAGAATTAGAAAAGGCTCTGGAGGGGCAAGACAAAGGTATGACACCATGGTGCTTGGAGAATGTAGGACTTGCCAGGGCAGCGACAGTGTAAAATTATGCCTGTGCTACACTGAGAGTAATTTCGTGCTGCTTTATAACAGCAATTAGCACCTCCGTGGGCGTAAGAATGTTAATTTTCACGATTCTTGACTTTAACTTCAGAAACTTGGTAATACATGTGCAGGGCTTAAAAAGTCCAACTGTAGTATAAAGCTCATAGTGAAACATGAGTCTCCACTCCTTCCAATCCCTGCCTCCCACCTCTGAGTTAGAGGTAGATACTTGCAACTCTTTTAGCTGTTTCTTCTGTTATTCATCAAATAAATATGCATATACTGCTATTTCTTGATTTATCCGTTTTAAAATATTATTTTGTGGAAGAAGAG